GGGGGAACCCCCGTTCCCTGGGGGAGAGCCCCGGTACCGTGAGGCTGCTCCCGTTTCGTGGCACAGCCCCGGTTCCACGGGCCCGCCCCCGTTCCGTGGGGGTTCCCCCCGTTTCCGTGGGAGTGCTCCCGTTTCCACGGGACAGCCCCGGTTCCGCGGGGGTGTCCCCGTTCCGCGGGTGAACCCCCCCAGCTCTGCCCGCCCCCATTCTCCTCCTCCCGCGGCGGAGGCTGGTGGCAGATGGGATGAGAAAAACGTGTGAGAACAACCAGGCAGCAGAAGGAGCCTTGGAAAACTGGATTTTTGGGAACTGCTAGTTCAAGGCTGCGCCCAGACTGGCCTGTTTAACAGCGGTTGGTGGGTGTCCTGCTTTTAAACGTTGTTACACGTCTGGGTTTTGCCTCCGTGGTGCCCTGTGCCCTGAGTTTTAAAATTTTATTGTGCTCCTGCTGACAACATGATCATCATTGAACCACCACAGAATGGTTTGGGTTGGAAGGGAACTTAAAGCCCATCCAGTCCCACCCCTTGCCATGGGCAGGGACACCTCCCACTAGCCCAGGTTGCTCCAAGCAGGGATGAAATTTGACATAGTTAATATTAATTCCGAGCCATATATCCAGAATAAAAGGATTAGCGTGTGCAACAGGGTATTTTTAATTATCTAAGAACCAGTGGAGCATCCAACAGCAAACCAGGGTGTGATGTAGTTGGCTCTAATCCATTGCCTGCTCATGGTGATGTGTGTCTTTAAATACAGGCTAATTAATTATATGTATTTTTTTAAAAACCCACTTCAGCAGCCTTTGATGATGCGGTGGAAGAACGTGTGATCAACGAGGAGTATAAAATATGGAAAAAGAACACCCCCTTCTTGTATGATTTGGTGATGACCCACGCCCTGGAGTGGCCCAGCTTGACTGCTCAGTGGCTTCCTGATGTCACAAGGTAAATGAATCCTTTTGTTTTCTAGTTAAAGCAGAATAAATATTGTCGTAATCAGCCCAGTGTTTGTGACCCCTGCTCTGCTCCTCTCCCCTCGCAGACCTGAAGGCAAAGATTTCAGTATCCACAGGTTAGTCCTGGGCACCCACACCTCAGATGAGCAGAATCACCTGGTCATAGCCAGTGTGCAGCTGCCCAACGACGATGCCCAGTTTGATGCCTCACACTATGACAGTGAGAAAGGAGGTAAGGACCCAAAGGGGTGGGTTTTAACCATATTTTCCTTCCCTTTCCCAGTAGAAAATACGCCTTCTCTCAACGTTCAGGCAACAAGATTCACTTCTACTTCTCAACTGAACCATTTATTTCTGTGTTACCCCCTTAATGGGGAGATTAAGTGACAAATATGCCCCTTTGTGGATAAACACTCTGGTTTTTGAATGTATGTGATGTCTTAAGAATCTAATGATGAAAACAGAAGGTTGGGGGCTTATTGCAAAAGCATTTTGCTCTGTGGGAAACCTCACCCCTCCCTATTTCTCATCAGGAATTGACATTGAATTCCATGCAGTGCTGCTTATTGGTGTTTTTACTGTCACTTTTGCACTACATAAACTCTCCCAATGAGAAAGTCACTCGTGTAGAAGAATATTCTTATATTCTTTTACAGCTTGATAGCTGTGCCAGCCCCTGTTTTATTGTAGAAATTGGTTTCTGTTGTGTTTTATGCAGTATATCAGGCTTGAATTGGATGTTTCCTGTAACCTTTGTGGGTGTCAGCACTGCCACAAGTTAGACATTTCTCATGTTTACTTGACTGAATCAGTCTTTCCACCTGGTGAAAGTCCTTAAATGATCCAATGTTTGCCCTTCTTTTTACAGGAAGTCTGGATTGTGCAATGAGTATTTTGATCTTTGGGCCTCTTAAGAGTTATTCATGAGCACAATATTGTCTCATAAATACTTAGTTTCTATTCTATTTTAGTATTTCTCAAAAATACGTACTCCGATTTAAAAACAAACCCAAACCCCTCTTTTTGGCCAGAATTGTGCTCTGCAATTTTGTGAAATACTAAGTCACTGTGACTTTTAAGTATAAAGATAAGGGAGCTTTAGCAGGTTGTATTTCAGACCCAATTGCAACTTGATTTTACCAGAACTTGCCTATTTTGCAGTAAGAGCTTGGCAGCAGTAGTTGAGTCTGAATCCTTGTGTCTTGATCTGAAACTTATTATTCACAACTCCTAAATTCTTATTTCTAGAGTTTGGAGGCTTTGGGTCAGTCAGTGGGAAAATTGAGATTGAAATCAAGATAAACCACGAGGGAGAAGTGAACAGAGCCCGTTACATGCCACAGAACCCCTGTATCATTGCCACCAAGACTCCATCCAGTGATGTCCTGGTCTTTGACTACACCAAACACCCTTCCAAACCAGGTGGGTGCTGCTTTGTTCTCACATACCAGCCAGCCCTTCCCAAAGGAAAGCTTGATGTGGTGAAAAAGAGCTTAAAAAGTTGCCTGGATTGCCTGTCATTTGGGGTTTTAGGGCGAAGTGGGTGTTTAGTGTAAGGTTATTTTGTATGAAGCTTCCAAATGTATCCATGGAAAGATAAACCTTGTGCTTTTGCTAGTTATTTTGTCACCTCACTGTGTGTGTGGTGTTTGGGTTTTTTTGGAAGCTGTGATTTATTTGGTGGGTAGCTGAGCTGTTCCCCTTGATATTCTGTGAATATATTAAGCTATAAACTCATCAAGATAGTATAGAGTAAATAGTTTTGCCACTTGTGGGGAGGATCAGAAGTGCCTTTGCTACTTTAAAAGTGCAGTTACAGATGATGAGGGAAAGAAAAATATCCCACCAGCAGTTTAGGAGGAGTTTTTGGAGCAGTGACAGATGAGCTGCTCTTCCTCCATCCAGCTGGACCAGGTGACTCAGGCCAAAGCATGGAGAGGTGGCTCCTGGGCTACTGAAAAAGGCACAGCAAAGTTTAGTAAAGCACAGTAAAACTTAATGCAGATATTCCAGGATGTGCTGGAAGTGGTACCAGGCACTGGAGTTCTTGCACTGCCTCGTTACAGATCCTTCTGGAGAGTGTAACCCTGACCTGCGTCTTCGTGGGCACCAGAAGGAGGGTTATGGGCTGTCCTGGAACCCAAACCTCAGTGGGCACTTGCTCAGTGCCTCTGATGATCATGTGAGTACTTCAAATAGAGCTGAGGTCCAACCTGCACTTTGTGTGCCCTGGGAAGGTCAGGAATGTTCTGGGTTTGAGGGGGAGGAGGTGAAGGGTCGTCTGTCTGGAGAAGTAACTTTTTGAGTTTTCTGTTGTTTCAAAGACCATCTGCTTGTGGGATATCAGTGCTGTTCCCAAAGAAGGCAAAGTGGTGGATGCAAAGACCATCTTCACAGGCCACACAGCAGTGGTGGAAGATGTATCTTGGCACCTGCTCCATGAATCCCTTTTTGGATCCGTTGCTGACGATCAGAAGCTCATGATGTAAGTGGGGGAACCTCTTCACAACCCAAGTGCTTTCCCATTTGCTGCTTAGTCCCTTGGTGAAAGGGGACAGGAACCTTTGTTTCAATTCTGTGTTTTTTCATTCCCAGCTGGGACACTCGGTCAAACAACACCTCCAAACCCAGTCATTCCGTGGATGCTCACACAGCTGAAGTCAACTGCCTTTCCTTCAACCCTTACAGTGAGTTCATCCTGGCCACAGGATCAGCTGATAAGGTACATCCACCTCGAGCTTGGAACATCCTTGTCCTGTTCCTGATGTGTAAGTGTGGATGTACACGTTGGTTACTTCAACAAAATGTGGTTTTGTATTTTTTTCACAGACTGTAGCTCTGTGGGACTTGAGGAACCTAAAACTGAAACTGCACTCCTTTGAATCACATAAAGATGAAATATTTCAGGTATAACAAAATGTCTTTATCTTTTATGCACATAGACTTGGAAAAATAGTCTTTCCTACTATCTTTTTATTAGAGATACTTTCCCTTTAAAACTCATTCTTTTCTCTCCTCTGCTTATCATTTTCTGGGTGATTGTTGTGGGGCTGCAGAGCTCCAGTACAGATAAGAGTGTCCAGGAGACCAGACTGGAAACAGAGAAATGCTCTGGAGCTTTAACCACAGCAGAAGGATGAAATGGTAGCAGTGCAGGGTCCATTAAATTATTCATGGCAGCAGATTGAAGCAGGAGGCCCCAGTGAAATGGCTGCAGTGTTTCCATCTCCTCAGCCTGCTCCTGGAGGAAGGTTTAACTGCTTCCCGTTAACAGGATCACCAAAACATCCTCTGACAACAAACAACTGCTAATTTTACTGGTGTAAATATAGAATGTTCACATCATGGGTGGCACGTGCTTAGCAGATACAATATTTCCATCTCCAGCTCGTGCCTTAATCAGAGGGGAAAATATGCAGAGATTTCTTTTTGGTGGGAGGATTATTAGTTCAGCCCGTAGTTATGTCTAAATAAAACTACACACGGAATCCTGAAGTGCAGAATTCTGAGTTCTTTCCTAATCCTCTGATCCTATTAGGTGGTGTGTTTTTGGAGAGCTTTATCTCCAGCAGGAGTGGTAAATGTGAGCTTTTGGGCAGCTAAGCTCAACTTACAGTGATTTGTTTTCATGTGAGAACTGCTCCTACTGCTGAAGGAATCCCTGGGTTAGCCTTGTGCAATAATCCTTCCTGAGATAAGGAGCAGCCAATACCCTTGGGAGCTGTTTGCACTTGGGAACACGTGGGCTTTGTTGGAGGAAAGGTTCCAGGTGGCACCTTTTTGGTGTGTGGATGTTCACAAACTGCCTCCTGTGCTCAGGGTTCTCAGTTGGGGGTGTTTTTATTCCGGGTTATTGTCAGTTTGAATTCTCACAGAGCTTTCAGGACACAAAATGAAGTGGTGTTTGTTGTCAGTGTCACGTTACAGCTTCTTAAAACTTAATTTCCAAATTCATCCTTGTCTGCAGGTTCAGTGGTCTCCCCATAATGAAACTATACTGGCCTCCAGTGGCACGGACCGCAGGCTAAATGTCTGGGACTTGAGGTAAATCCCAAATTACTCACATTGTCCCCACAAAATGTTGTTCATTAATTGCATCACACCTTAAAAAACAAACCAACCCCCACCTTTTCTTTTTTTCTCCTTTTTTTTTTGCAGTAAAATTGGAGAAGAGCAATCCCCTGAAGATGCTGAGGATGGGCCCCCAGAGCTGTTGGTGAGTCATTTCAAGCTCATTAATTACTTGGACCAGTTGCTCACTCGTACAAGGGTAGATTTGTAACCACTCCCCTTTTTGATTCCCCAATCCTAGTTTATTCATGGTGGTCATACTGCAAAGATATCTGATTTCTCCTGGAATCCCAACGAGCCCTGGGTCATTTGTTCTGTATCAGAAGACAATATCATGCAAGTCTGGCAAATGGTGAGTTGCTTGGGAGAGTGCAGGAAGTGGCAGGTGAGAGATGGTGTTGAAATGCCAGGATTTCAGCATTCCTGCTTTTATTTGCAGCTCTCAGAGTTGCTCATTTTGTAGCATTGCTGAAATCTCAAAGGGACAGTGAAACCCCCTTTAGCTTTGGTCAGAACAATGGTTTCCAAATACTCAGAAGCTGTTTTGTATTTAAAAAAAAATAAATAAAATAAGGAAGTGCTGGTGCAGAAGAAAATTTTTCCCTTCTATGCTTGAAGGAAAACAGTGTGTGAGAACCAACAATGAAACTGAGGTTTCTGTTAGTTACTGTCCTGAGGAATAAAATCTTTGTAAATGATACAAATGCCCTCCTGAGGATGGAGAATGGGAATAGTTTGCTGCTCCTGCATTCCCAGCTGTTGAAAGTTTTGGAAAACAATCTTGACCTTTGAGAAGACCATAATCCTATTTTTTTTTTTTTATTTACCTGTAGATTTTGTTCCTGGCAGCTTTCCATGTAGTTCTTTTGGAAGGTGCAGCTAAGTAGAGGATCTACTGAATACATACAAAAAGTGTTGACTGAAGTAAGCCTTGCAGTGGCCTCTGCTTTGACAAGGCAGACTCCTAAGCTAAAACAATTTAGAGGAAACTTGGGAAATGTTTTGAAGATGTGGCTCTTATGGAAAAGGTCATTTGTGTTGCTGCTTTGGTGTTAAATGATCTTGGGTGATACATATCTGCAGATTAAAAGCTGCCAGAGCTTTTTGAGGGGGTGGAATCCTGTCCAGAGCAGTGGGAAGTGCTTCCTCAATCCCTCCACCCCTGTCTTGCAGGCTGAGAACATCTATAACGATGAAGATCCCGAAGGAAGCGTGGATCCAGAAGGTCAAGGATCCTAGATGACAACCTTTTCCTCTTTTTAGTCTTTTTTTTTTCCTTCTCTTCCCTCTCAACCCCGATATCGACTTAACACTGGTTTTGAGACACACGTAGGCTTTGTGTTCAGCCATCCACCTGTAGATCCCATCACAGGCTTTTTCACCCAGACAGCGAGTACCCACCCCCCAAAAAAGGGCTCAGCCCCCTCAGCCAGGTCTGTGCTGTAGCCCCTCGATGAGAATTCCTGCAGCAACCTCTTGTGTCAGGCTGGCTGTCCCCTTTTGGCTGCCTTTCATCACACAGCAAGCTTGGGTTTGGTTTCTTTCCTTGCTCCAGCCACGGGCTTTTTCCTAATTTAAACAAAAGTTGAATTGGCAGAGCTGCCCAGTGGGCTTGAGCCAATAGGGATGATACAAGTGTTAATCCACTGGCAGCTCAGAAATGGTGTGGAAGGTCCTGGCCTCCTCAGTGCAACTCAGAGGCCTTGGAATTCCTTTAGTTATCTGTACCTTGTGGATTTTTCTGCCTTTGCAGATGCAAAACACACTTGCAAGTTCTGACTCGAACTGAAATTTCTCTGGGGTTTTTTTTTTCTTTTTTTTTTCTTGTCTCTCCTGGCAATTCTGAGCTTTCCATTCCTCCCTCCCTCTCCCTTCTCTCCCACCTGCTGGCCCACAGCGGTTCAGATTCTTTAGCTATTCCTGCAGAGCATCCTTCACACACACACCCCCCATGTTTTTTTTTTTTTGCTCTATTGTGTGTTTCTCGAGCTGTGTTTTTTCACATGATGTTTCTTTCCTTTCTGTGAAATGGTTTTTAAGACTTGGGACCCCCAAGTTGTAAAAGGTGTATGTTTGTGCCAGCGGACGGCCCTGCCCGGTGCCCTGAGCAGCGTTGGCAGCTGGTGTGGAGCAGATTCAACGTGGATGAACTGCTTTTTTTAGGAGTTAGTCCTTGACCACTGGTTCCTGCACGTCTTCCACTTGGGTGTCCCGTGCCACCAGCAGCCTGTTACTCTCCATCTCCTCATGACTAATTGCGTGTAAGTCCTTCAGTTGGAATAAAGTTTTTCTACGTAAAGGCCGTGGAGTTTTGGGGAGTTCTGTGCTCTTTTCTTCCTGCCTTTTCTGCTCTGTCAGGGTAAGGTTGACCTGTTCAGGGAGCAGGGGTAGGAAGGGTGTGGTCTCCACCTCTGTGTATCCCATGAGACTGGGTGCTGGGATAGATTTTTTTTTTTTTGCTGTTTTCTTTGTGGAATGAGTCAATGAGCACTTAAAATCCCCAAGCAGCCACAAAAGCCCTGAGCTGTTCCTTCCCCCTCAAGCCTGTCTGCCTTCTGGCTCTGCCTTCAGCCCCTGCCACAGAGCTGTTTTTGTTAATCTGCAGCATGAATAGTCTGGTACAAACACCCAGGTTGGACACACAGACTCGGGATTTGGAGGCGCAGCTTTGGGAATGAAAAGGCTCCTTAAACTCTGACCTTTATTTTCAGTGTGAGACTTGATATAAAGTGAAAACCTCTTACCCACCACCTCGTTTCTGTGGGGCACATCCCAGTACAGCAGAGACCCTTGAAATACAAAAGAAAATCCTGTTCAAAGGATGAAGCTTCTCTTGCATGTAAACTTTTAAAAGTCAACACCCCCACCCCCCCAGAACTTTCAGTGCAGGTTTAAACAATCCATCTATGGGACAAGGCAAGATACGTTTTCCCAAACACAGCAAAACATAAATCTGTTATTCCTCATCCGTGTCCATTGTTCAGTGCAAGGATTGTTTGCTCTGCTCCTCTGTGGAAAAGCAGTTTTACTACATGAGCAGCAGCAGCAGCAGCACCTGGAGAAACACACCCAGGGAAAGGACTGTCTGGTATTCCTGACTCCAGGCAGCAGCTGTGCTTCAGGCAGGATAAGCAGCACGAGGAGACATCCCTTGTAGATCCTCTGTCCATTGTTTTTGCTGCAAAGAGGAAAATTCCATAGTTCTAACAGTCCTGGTCTGCCTTTTCCTCCGATTTGCAAAGGTGTCCATAGATTTCCAGGCAGCTCCTGTAAAGGGAGAAAGGAAACTTAGGCTATGGAATATTTACATAAATATTCTGGCTGGAGGAAAAAAGGGTGCTATTTCTGGAAAGCATTCTTTTTACAGTATGGAAGAAAAGAAATTGGGAAGCACTTCAGGAGGCTCGGTGAGTGCGTGGTTTTGGGGGGGTGTGGGCCTGGCCCAGCCCTTCCAGAGCCCTTTGGCAAACAGGATTTGACAGATGGGAATGTCATTTCTGGTGTGAGCTACAGGAAGAGGCAGCTCGGAGCTGCACTTAACTCTGAGCTCCCTGGAGCCAATGTGAGACCTCATTGAAGGTGTCCTGACACTGGAGAAGCCTCGGGTGCTGTCCCTTCCAGGAAGGGCAGTTTGTAGATTCCAGGAGTTAAAAGAGAGTCCACGGGATTAAATGTTGGTCTGTGATTTAGGAGAACCCCACAGGGCAGACACAGGGTGGTGGTGGGATCTGAATACATCTGGTGAGAACACAGGCTGAGAGATCTCTTCCCTGTGCTTGCCATGCTGAAGTCTTACCTGGATAAAAGCTATTTGGGGCAGGGGATATCCTGTGAGGAGGTTTGGAGGGAGAAGGGGAAAAAGGAATGCTAAAGGAGCAGTGAGGTCACGGAAAATGGTTAAGAGTGTGCACAGCTGGGACTGGAGTAACAGAACAGCTCCAGGCTTGGTGAGTAAAACAGTCCACAAACTCCAGGGTGTTTTCTGGAGCTTTGGAAAATCCCAGCCATAGAGTTTTATGAGCAGAGGACAGTTCTCTCCCATTGGAGAGCATCCACATCACCTTCCCAAACCTAAACCTCAGCTCCTTTCCACATATTCCTGAGGAAACCACCACTTAAGTTGCCACACCTGCTTCTTGGGAAGCAACTCCACTCCTCTGCGTGCAGGAATTTCCAGCAAATCCCTATTTGCTGTTTGGCAAAGGGGCTGGAATTCCTGCTGTGCTGCCCCACCAGGCCCCTGGGTCACACACCAGCCGTGGCCCCAGGAACCAGGAGCAGAAGCCCGTGGTGTCCCACAGCTGTGTGTCCCCAGACTCTTCCCCACCATCCTCCTCCTCTTCCCAACCCCTCTGCGCCGCAGGGATGAGACACAAACGCACTTGTAGATGGAGAGCTCCTTGTGGAGGCTCGTCCTCAGCTCCTCCAGCTCCTGGTTCTTGCGCTGCTGGAGCTGGACCCCGTTCTTCAGCTCCTTCAGCCTGTCTTCCAGCTCCTCAACCTGCTCCTGGGGAGGGAAAAGAAAAGAATGGATTAGCTGGAGGAGGAAGGTGCACAGCCAGGCTGACACTGCCCAACCACCCTCTTTAAAAACCTCTGCAAACCAAGCTTTGTTTGGTTACAAAGGTGGGAATTTGGGATGTGTTTTGTCCTTAGGCTTCTCCCAGCTGCTTGGTTTTGTCCCCTAAACTCCTCAGTGTGTGTTTTGAGAAGCTGCCAGAACTGTAAAAGCCCATGAGTCAGAAGGAGATAAATGAGGAATTTGGGAAAAGGAAAACGTGGAGGCACACCAGGGATGCTCCAAAGCCCTGTCCTCCAAGGGACAGTGGTCCCTGAAATCCAAGGCAAGCCTTGCCATGGGTGCTGGTGGCCTGGTCCCCATTCCAGCAGGGAGGAACTGCAATGGAAGGGGAACATCAGTTCCAGAAAGTGCTCGGAGCCAGGCTGGGAGGAGGCAGCGCCTGCGAGCCGAGAACAGAGAGTGTTGAAAGGGGGGGAGATTAATTGTGGAGCCTCTTTGCCAAATGTGCTCTTGCAGATATTGAATTGCCTTGTCCCTCAGACCAAAGAGCCTGGGGAAAAAGGCCTGGCCCAGCCAGAAATAACCCTCCCAGGAGGCAGCCCAGCCCATGGGCTGTGGGCATGAGAGATGGGACCCTTCCTGGCARTGGGAAGGGCAGAATCTGCCCCGGC